CTGGTTATGTGCCAGTAGGATGTATTGACATTAATAAAAACTACAGAAAACATCTGAGACAGACTCATTATGGTGGAAGATGTAATTTCATGGTACCATGATCATGGCCTTTGCATTTTTTAAAATTCTTATCTTTCAGAATATTCTACAGTAAATGTGACTTATATAAGAAAATAAAGTTTTTAAGTACTGTACAAACACAAATTAAAAAGCACTTTTAAAGGGAGATTAAATTGGATAGTCATAATTGGGAGTCAGAAGATCTAGGTTACAATTGTTTAAATTCTTACCCTTAAAATCCAGCCTCTGTGTCTGAGATTAATATAATCTAATTGATATTCTGTGAAATAAATAAGAAAGCATTTTCAATTCAAATCAAGCACTTGGAGGGAGCCTGCCTTTAGTGTCACTGTGGCTGCTCCCCAATATCCCAATGTCTACTTTTCTGCACTTTCCCATCATATAGGGAGCGAGCTTTTCCAGGCAATTTCTTTCATACCACTCCCTGTTCTCCTGTCTCCTGACCTGGGTAAAATTCTGAAACTTCAACTTTATGAATTTTGTAAAGTGACCCCTTAGTTATCTATTATTGTATAATTCTCATTATGCCTAATTCTAATCTTTCCATTTGGATTGTGGAGGCTGTTTTAGAAGTCAGAGATATGCTGCCACTGTTTTTGATGATTAAAGAGGAAACCAAAAACACAAACTTGACCTCTAGAAGAATATCTATCCATTTACATGATTATAGCAAACACTCTACAACCTGCCCTTAAGAAAATGTATGACACAACTTTCTGAACTAATTTAGAAGCTAATTTATTTCAATACAAAATACATCTGATGTGTCCTTTTAAAAATCAAAATATATTGTATATAATTAAAGAATTATAATCTTTGGATGTGTCTTTTATGTTGACCTTTGCAAATGGAGAAACTGGGACATGAAATGTCCATCGAGGACAACAAATCTACGGAATCTATGTAGCTGTAATAAAGAATGACCTGTTTTCAGAGCTGAAATGCAAAGACATTCAGAATATAATGTTGAAAAAAAAAGTTGCAAGCTGACCATCTTTGGCATCTCTAAATGTGGGGCAATTTGGAAACTGTGACGGACTGTGAAGTATCTTGGGACCAAAAGTTAAGCTGAATCTAACTAAACTTTTAGAGCTTAATTTTGATTGCCAGAAATACAAAGAAAAGAGGAGCAATGTAAATGACACACAAGGAAAGAGAAAAACCCAGAATGTGAAATGTTTCCCAGGACAGCTGGCTTGTATACCCAGTCAGTGGCAGAGGGAATAAAGAGAATTCAGACTGAGAGGGACTTAGAGCCACACCAACAAACTGCAATGTGGGGACATTGGGCCTGGATTTAAGAAAGTCAATGGAATAAGAGCACTTTATAATTAATTGGGGAGATTAATTATATATATAAATTATATATACTTATATAATATACATTAATTATTATAATTTATTGTATAATTATAATTTTTATATAATTATTAATTGTATATTAGTAAATGTGACTATGGACTGTATTATGAGGTGCAGAAATGAAGAAAGTCTTCATTCTTAATTTTATTTGTTTTGTGTGATTATGGTAGTATGATTGTGCAGCAGAATTTCCATTATTTTTAAAGAAGATGCACATGAAAGTCTATAAAGGTGAAATAACATGTCTATGGTTTGTTTTAAAATACCTTAGCAGATAAAATAGCAAAAAGAAAATACAAAGTGCTAAACCTTGTATGTGGCATACTGTTTCATAATAGAAAAGGTTAAGAATATATATTTCATTTTTTGTATGTTTCCATGGGTTATTTTGTATATTTCCATGGATTTATGAAAGTGGAACCCCCCTAAAGGGTAGAAGGAGAAATGGGGTATGTATGGAGGGGTGGGAACAGCCTTCTTAACATAAGCTTTTTGTATTACTTTAAATGTTTGCATTCATAAGTATTACCTGCTATTGTTTGGAGGTTGTTTGTATAGGTAAATGTGATCCCCAGTATGGAGACCATGAGCCTTAAAGGATTGGGGCCTATCGGGAATTGAGGAGGTGGCAGGGGTTGTCTCCCTCAAAAGGGATTGAGGTAGTTCTCATGAGGCCCTGAGTTAGTTCTTGAGAGAGATTGTTGTAAAAGGAGCAAGGTTGGCCCCTCACCTGGTTTTTGGCTTCCTGTCTGCCATTTGATGTCTCCCTCTTTCACACTTTCCCATCATTGTGATGCGTCCTCCATGATGTCCTCATTGGAGCTGAGCCAATGCTGATATCATGCCCTTGAACCTCCAGAACTGGGAGCTAGAGAAACCTCTTTATAAGTTACCTAGTCTCGAGTAACAGAAAACAGACTAACCATTACTTAAACACTGTTCAAAATTAAATAACAGCCCAGTGCAGTAGAGCATACCTGCAATCCCAGTGATTCAGGAGCCAGAGGCAGGAGAATTGCAATTTTGAGGTCAGCCTGGTCAATGTAGCAAGACTGATCTCAACATAAAAAGTAAACAAAACAAAACAAAACAAAGACACACACACACACACACACACACACACACAAAACAAAACAAACAACAACAACAACAACAAAAAAAACTGGGGATATAGCTCAGAAATAGAGTGCCCCTGGATTCAATCTCTAGTGCTAAAGAAAAAAAAATAAAATTTTATTTAAAAAGGGTGGTGCGGGGGTTGCAGCTCACTTACCTGGCATCCTCAAGGCCTTGGGTTCAATTCTCAGGACTGACAAAGAATTAAAAGATGCAGTGTAGGTTATTTGTACACTTATATTCATAGCAAGATTATTTGCAATAGTTGAAAGGTGGAAGCAACCCAAGAGTTTACCTACTGAAAGCAGAAATGTGACCCAATTTCAGGCTTAAAAAGGAAGGAAAATTCTGCCTGTAACCTCAGGTACTTGGGAGACTGGGGCAGGAGGATTGCAAGTTCAGGGCCAACCTGTTTCAAAATAAAATAAAAAGGGCCAGGGAGATAGTTTAGTAGGAGAGCACTCCCACGTTCAATCCCCTGTGACTGAAGATTTAGATTGTTTTTCAAACAATTGAAAAAGAAATAACTCAGCTAGGCACAGTAGTGGCAGGCCTGGCTGTTGCAAATAAGTCATATTTTAGACAATAGTCGTGTGTTTGGGTAAAAAATCTTGAGTGTATTAGTATAACAGGTTATTTTCTTTTTGTTTTGTGGAAAGTGTAAAGCATTTGAACAAGGGCTTTAATGATGATTTTTTTTCCTTGCACCCATGCTGTTGATGACTAAATGTAATAGTCTGATCATGATGTCATATAATTGTGTCTGTTAAAAAATCCAGCTGGGGTTGTAGCTCAGTGATTGAGTGCTTGCCTAGAATGCACAAAGCCTTGGGTTCCATCCCTAGCACTGCAAAAATAGGTAAGCAAGCAAATAAAACAAGCTTCAAGGAAAAGAAAAAAAAAATCACCAAGAAATCAAAACTGAACGAGTGTGAACATTTTCAGGAACAGGCCTCTACACACAAAGAGAAGGGATTAGAGTAGGTCTCTAGATGCCTTCATGCCTGGACTTTAATAAAATAATAAACTGTTAATGTTTTATAAAGGTGATCCCAATGGCGATTGTAGAGATGGATAGAAAATAGAGTCATAAGCCACAAAACTTATTCCTTATAAGAAGGAATCAAAAGCTGAGACCTGACACTTTTAAAAGCCTTGCCCAAGGTCATACTGCTAGTGCATATGTCACCAGCCCCATGTATTATCCACTCTGCCCTATGCTTAAACATGGATGTTTTCTGGCTGTTGTAAACCACGTGGGCAGGCATATTTAGGACAAATGTTAAATTCATGCAATGTGATGCAAACGTGGAAAAGTCTGGGGCTTAGGAGACTTGTGTTCCTATTCTAAATTACAAATTACATGCCTTTGGGCAAATAATTTTTCTTGAGTCTCAGTTTCCTTGTGTGTGAAATGAGGCAATTAACTGTGATCTCTTGAACAACTACCACTCTGTTATGCTATTTAAGTACATATACCAAACAAGTTGAATGTTTCTATTAAATGCATTTAATGGCATCCAGGTGACGAGGAAATTCAGGAAGGCAAGACATAGAGGAAGGCCAACTGTGTTTTCAGAAACCACTCAGTCTGTAAACTCACTTCCCTTTTGTAAAGAAGCTTTGGGATTTAAGGTATCTAGATAAAAGTCACTCTCCCAGGGCTGAGGGCACGTGGGGCTGGTATTGCCTCAAGAATGAATGGTGTGGCTGGAACACAACATTTTCTGGCAGTTCATGCCAGAAGCCCCCCGAAAGTGAGAGTACCTTGTGTTCATGAGATGGAATAGAATACTCCGGTCTCCTCAATTCCATCCAAAGTCAGGGAGTAAAAAAGCATTACCGAGAGGAATATGACTTTCCTAAAAGGCAGGGTTTGAAAGTTTGAAGGTCGAAGTCAGACTATTAGAGTGGAGAGCTGTGCATATATCACCTATTCATTTTATAAATTTCTAAGTGAGGAAGCTCAGATTCAACAAGGTATAGGACATGAACGAATTTGTGTTAGAACAAGGACAAGAACTGGGTCATGATCATATTGGCAGTTGTCTATGGATGTGAGGATAAGGAAGTTGCCATCCATTGTTCTGTTCTCCAGCTCCTAGTTCAGTGCCTGCATAGAGTACCTGCTTTATGAGCACTGACTGAATGAATGCATGAACCGTATGACTGCATTTTATATTCCCCGTTAACCAGCCCAACTTGCACACTGTCCATTTCGGACCTACTTAACCTAAGTAATAAGATGAGGGTTCTTTCTACTGGCTATGACTAACACTTTTGTTCCTCTGAAATATTGCTTCCTCTTTGTTGAGGCACCAGGACAAACATCATCATGTTCACAGGATATGTGGGGTGTGGTATGACAAACAACTGGGGCTTCTTTTAATGTGACTGAAGATTTAGCAGCGTCAGTACAGACATCATTGGTAGTTAGACACCCTCAAGTGTGGTCTGGCAATCAGCAGAAGTAGCTGCCATTCATGTGATTGTGGAGGAAAGAGACAGTTGGAGGAAACACTTAGTTCGTCTGGAGAGTTCAAACTGTGCCTAAACAGAGTCATCCTCTGACTCTTCCTCTGAAGAGCCCATGTTTTCACATCTTTCTTTTAATGGTATCCTGTTACTGCTGCTGCTGCTGCTACTTACAAGTAAGTGTGGTGTGGTTATTTACAGTTGGAGAATGATGCTGGACGGAGGGCAAGATAGCAAGAGATGCAAGGTGGTCCTCACAACATCATTTGTTGAGGTACAAGTTTGGAAGCCACCTAAATGTCCACCGGTGGAGGAGTAGGTAAATAAATGTGATATTTCATGATACACACAGTAAGCCTGACTGAATATACTGGTATAGAATGTCTCTCAATCACAATGCTTTTGAAAATACCAAGGGGTCAGCATAATGTACGGCAGGCTCCTCTTTGTGTGTATGCATTGGGAAGGAGAGGGCAAATCTAGACATTTCTTAATGTGGGCTCTAGGGAGGAGAACTGGGAAATGGGAAAAAGGTGGGGGAGGAAGTCAGACTTCTGATGCACTTTTTATACTGTTTGAAGGTCTTAACCTATAAATGTGTGTGTGCTGTAAAAGGAATTAGTTTTAAACCTCAAAACAACCTGTGAGTGGCTTCAAATATACAAGCTTCTTATTTGGCCAAAGCTATTTATTCACTGTGCCCCTGGACCTTTTGAAAAAAAGAGAGATTTGTGTTTGGATAGCCACCCTTGATTGATGAGTAAGTAGTTCCTGACTGACAATGAGATTTTCTGTTCGTCTGTTCCAACAGCTGTGTCTTCTCATGTTCACAGAACTGTCCACAATTTTCTCCTAGTTCTCAAAGTGGTGGTTCTGATAGGAAGGGTCAAGGACCCACGATACCTGGAAACTGTTAGAAATACATGTTCTCAGACTCCACCGCAAACCAACTGTGCCAGGAACTGCAGTGGTGGAGTCCCCCATTCATGTTTTCAGAAGGCTTCCTGGTGATTCTGTGGCTGCTCAAACATTAGCATAGTGAACCATCCTCCAAAGGGGGCATCAGCCGTGTTCTCCTCTGCATTCTATAGAGCTTTGTTTGCTGTATTCCTAAAATAAACTAGCCTTACTCAAGGTCTTGCTCTCCTTCCCTCTTTCTTCAGTGTCTTCAGAAGGGGAATACATAGTTGAGGTGGGTCAGGATGCCAGTTTGCCCTGCAGCTACAACCCCATCTCTTCAGAGAGTCTTGTGCCTGTGTGCTGGGGCAAGGAGTCCTGTCCTGTATTTGGATGTAAGGATTTGGTGCTCAGCACTGATGAAACGAATGTGAAAGATCAGAAATCCAGCAGATACCAGCTAAAGGGGAATTTACACAAAGGTGATGTGTCCCTGACCATAGTGAATGTGACTCCAGCTGACAGTGGGACCTATTGTTGTCGGATCCAGTTTATAGGACCAATGAATGATTACAAACTAAATGTGGAGTTGATCATCAAACCAGGTGAGTGGAATCTTTGCATGCCTTCTCTATGCCTAAGATTCACATCTTAATCACAATAAACATTGATTTTTTACTACCTCTGAGTCCCCTAATTACAGTTCTGGGGATGGACCCTGAAGACCTAAAGTTTTATAAGCCCTACCTATGATTTCCAGCAATGTTTAACACCCTCCAATATATTTTGAATGTCCTGGATGGTATCTACAGAACTGGAAGACAGCCTAGATTAGTGATTAGATACCCTAACTGCTCATTAGAATCACCTGGAAAAGCTAGGGTATGGTGGCACATGTCTGTAATCCTACTGACTTGGGAGGCTGAGGCAGGAAGATTGCAGGTTTGAGACTGGCCTCAGCAACTTAATGAGGACGTAAGCAACTTAGTGAGACCCTGTGTCAAAATACAAAATAAAAGGGCTTGGGATGTGGTTAAGCACCCCTGGATTCTCTCCCTGGTACAACAACAACAAGAAAATCATCTGCAGAGATCTTTTTAACTACTACAATGCTTGGGCCCCACCCACAAACAGAGAAATCAGCATTTCTGGAGATGGAATCCTGAACATCAGCTTTTCATGGATTCTACCCCAGATACAACCAGGATGTGAACCACTGGACTTTGCATGTGTGTTGGGGGAGGGGTTCAGGTTCTTGTATGTTTTAAGGTTTATAGGGCACATACTTTGTGACCGAATGGGGCCAGGTTCCAATCCAACTCTGCATTGTACTAATTGCATAATCTTAGAAAAGTTATTTGAACTCTGTGACCTCCTCTGTAAAATATGATAATAATACTTACATATAGGCAACTGAATGGATAATATTTTATGCAAAGCCTTGGGTATGGCCACTTGTGTGATTCTTAGTTCCATTAATATTTAGACTGTCACAATGATGACTGCCTCTTACCTCTGTCAAAATTTTGAAGTGTGTGTTCTCCCTCAATGAAGGAGTTCAGCTTGGTTTGGAAGCTGAGGATGTGTCTGTCTTCATTTATTGTCTTTCACATTTTTTCTGCTGCTCCTTTGATTCTCTGAAACAAGCTCTCTGCACTCAGAGAAGTCTCATCCTTAATGTTGGTTTCTGACATTAGCCAAGGTCAACCCAGCTCCAACTGCCCAGAGAGATGTTACTACAGTCCTTCCAAGGATGCTTACCACCGAGGGACATGGCTCAGGTAATACATGGGGCATAGGAGGAAGCCTTTAGCTGGTAACTGAGCTCAGAGGATGAGGCATGGATGTTTTTCTGCACCTGAAATAGTGTTTGAGGTGAAGGTGGTAGTGAAGACATCCTGAGTTCAGATTCTGGATTAGCTACACACTAGCTAAGTGACCTGGGCCAAGTTCTTTCACTTCTCAGGACATTAACTTCCTCTTCTGTTCAAGGAATGAGTTTGGAGACTTTTGGATTCCATGACCCAGTGAAGTTCCCCACCCATGCTAAGAAAGAATTTTGGTGATCTATATATTTGCCAAATAAGGAAAGAAAAGTATCTATTGCCATTATTTCATTAAAAAAAAAACATTGTCTCTTAATCTTATTTAACTTTTAAACAATTAATAAAAGTATTTTATTTAAATATTAAGTAAATCTAACTTAATGGAAAAACTTATTACATCATCCTCATTATTTTCTGATTTATTCTTGGACCAGTGATATTTCTGCATGTATTCACCCCAATCCGTGTTCAGGGACTCTTAGATTAGATGACTTTTAGACTTCTCTCTAGCTGGAATAAAGCCATCAGCTTCCTCAGATTAATTCTTTAGCTAGTTCACCAAGGTACTTCAGAAGAGAAGGTAGGACAGAATACAGACCTCAGGTCACCTTGATCAAGGATGTTAATACTATGATTCCTGGTCCCAGTCTTTGTCTCTCTCAAATTCTATGAAGCTCGTTTTTTTTTTTTTTTTTCTGTAAATTGAGGTTAAAAATAGGGAAGTGTCACCTCATAATGCTATAGACCATATAAGTCATGCCTTAAGAGTTTTAAGTCAGAAAATGTATCTAAAATGCTTAGTTTCAGTACTGATTATAGTACTTACTCAATATAGGTTAGCTATTGCCATGAATAATATCAGAAGGAAGAATGAGATTATGGTTAACTACTTCAGTGACAAGTAGAATGGGTACAAAATCAAGCTCTTCTTATGAGCTCTGTAAAGTTTCCCACCTCTCTGAATCTCAATTTTCTCATCTGTACAAGGAAGGCAATACCAGTGTCTACTTCATGAGGTACTATAAATAATAAACAGTAGGGGCTGAGGATGGGGCTCAGTGGTAGAGCACTTGCCTAGCTCATGTGAGGCACTGCGTTTGATCCTCAGTACCACATAAAAATAAATAAATAAAATTAAGGTATTGTGTCTAACTACAACTAAAAATAATAATAATAATAAGAGTAAACAGGATAATGTATGTGTAAATACAGCACAGAACCTGGCCTATAGAATTCATTTAAATATTAGTTATTATTATTATAGTGATTAACTTCACCTCTTTAAAGGTTCAGGCTTTGGTTGTTCTCTAGTGACTGGAAGCCGTCATCTCTTTTGTGATTAGTGAGGAAATTAAATACAGCAGGAACAGATAATCACCCACATTGTGGGCTAATCAATCATACAGGTGTTTATTATGTGCCATTGTTTTATTTTAAAGAACTTACAAATATAGACCTAGGTGGGACATCAGGGATCATTTAGTTCCACTTTTCCACCCTGTGCTTCCATGCATCTTCCAATATCACCACTGAGTAGGTACCTGCTGTATATCACACATGCAGGCATACAGGACATAGGGAGTTCACTTCCTTGCCTATACCATGAGCCGAAGTCCCCTTCCCCTTAGATTTTGCTTGTTAGTTACTCTCCTCCAAGACAACAACAAAGGGGCCATCTCTTTCATCAGAGAATATAGGGACTTTACCTAGATAGAATTTCTGAGCTTTTCAAGGGCCTGATTTAAGAAAATAGTTGAATAAACAAACCAACAACGCCGCCGCCGCCGCCCCCTCCCCAAAAAGGCAATTGCTCCAAAACAGGAAAACAAAACTAAAAGTGAAGTTAATGAACATCTAACAACTTGCCTATATGTAACATTATGTCAATTAATCAAGGTGAGTCAATTCATAGGTAGTCTATGATTTTGTTTAATGTGATGTGGTTGCTTTTAATGTGTTCAATATAAAGTGGAGTGAAGCCTTAAAAAGCCAGGGTTCCCAGGGCTGTGGAATGTGCTAAACCCACCTGAACACAGGACAAGTGTCCTCTCCCTTCTTCCTAAAGGAGGTGGGACTGGGTCATGGGTGAGTCCTCAGCTCTGGGAAGACTAGTTTGAATTCCAGATTTCTCATAGGTAAAGTACTTCTGTGATCATAGGTAAAGTACTTCTCTAAGACTCAGTCTCTTCATCTGAAAAAATGGGGAAAATACTCTTACATACCTGTTGTGGTGAGCACTAAATGGGATTGTGGCTTTAATAGTGCTAAGCACCATGTCTGGCACACAGACAGTGCTGAGCAGATAGGGACCACTGCATTTATACACTTTGATATTCTCTCTGCCTGCAACCCACCCACCTCCTGGGTTCTCCAGAAAGAAACACTGCAACTTCTTCCAACTGTCCCCCCACCCACCTTGGCTGATGGGCAAATCTGTGAAAATAGGCTTTGATAACTCAATGTTCTCCATCCATTTTATAGATCATTGTCATAGCAAATGAAGTTAAAAAAGAAGAAGAAGAGTCAGTCTTAACAGTTAGGCCAACAGCCAAAATTATAGGGAAGCAGAAACTGGATTTTCATTTGAAAATCTTGCATGTGGTTAAGATTCATGTTTACTTAGCAGTTCCATTGTGGTTTTTATACTTTAATTTGCTAAATTCCTTTCAGGTAATAGGCAAAATATAATCTTGTTCATATCTGTTTCTTAAATAATTTTAGGACGAGAGTATACCTTTATAATATTGAAATCATAGTCTGCTAAACTATTATTTAGTTGAACCTGATATGCATCTTAAAGGGTTTAGACTTCAAGGTTTCCAGGAGACAGCCATGGTGTTTAAGGAGTTTAAGAGTCTCTGACTTAGTCATAAAAATGAGGAAGCATGTTTTGTTTTCCCAAAGCTGACAAACAATTTGTGTTTAGAATATAGTGTCCACAAGATCAGGGTCTGGGGCCTGGGTTTGTGGCTCCATGGTAAAGTGCTTGCTTAGCATGTATGAGGTACTGGGTTTGATTCTCAGCACTGCATATAACTAAATAAAATAAAGTCCATTGACAAAACTAACAAAATATTTTAAAAAAAATATCAGGGTCTGTTCCATCAGGTTTGCTGCTCTCCCCTAAACCTGGCATAGAGTTATACATTATTCCTTGACTACTTAATCAGATAAAAGAAATAAACAAATCAACCAAAAGGAAAGATGGTGAGTTGACAGCTGAGCAGCGTGGTCTTTGAGGTTGTGAGGGTAGATGGTAGAGAATGTATGCTTGAAACCAAGTGGACCTAAATTGGAAGGTCATTTCTATCATTCACTAAACTCTGTGACCTTGGAAAGTCACTTAACTTCCCTAATCCTCAGTAGCTTCATCTGTCTAAGGGGACTAACAGTCCTGACACTTTAGGATCCTTATTTCGAATGCTAAGTGAGATACTTCATTAAGAGTTTGGCACAATGCCTGGGTCCTGGTAAATTGTAGCTAGAGTTCTTATTTTCATTTGAAGGTAACCGAATACTCTGTCTCCCTCCTAATGAATAAATGTTAAACTTTTTCTAGAAAATGGATTTTTTTCATTTCTTTCAAAGTCTAATTAGAATATAATGACTGTCATCATTGCTATTGAATTTTTGTAGAAGCCACTAAAGCCCCTGTGGATAAAACAAACTACATATTCAATATAAGTCTTCCTGACAAAAATCTGTATTTCAGGAAATAGAAATAGGTAGGGTTCATTATCTAGATGAATGTTCCTGGTCATCCGAAGTTGATTTATAAGCAATCAGTAAATTCTGTTGTCTCTCAATTAGTTATTGTGAAGACGATGGGGAAGAATTAGTTTTAAGTAGGATTATAGACATCATTCAGCTTTTTCTGATACAAAAAAAATTTTAACTATTGACTATCTTCCCTCATTTGTGTGTGTTTGTGCTTGTGTAGTGGAAACACAGACCCTGGGGACCTTCCATGATAAAAATCAAACAGTAAGTAATTTTTGTGTGTGTGTGCTAACAATCTCAACTGCATAAAGAAAATCTGGCTTTAGACGTCTTCTCACCTACCATTTCCTTGGGATGGAGGAGGCTTACCCCCCTTAGCTTCAGATTCCTTGTCTGTAATGTGTTGATGATGACAAACCAAAAAGAAGAAACATTAGCGTGTTGTCCCTCTTCTCAAATTTTACAGTTGTTACCACTGTGGAAGTTTCTAAGACTTTCCAGCTTCTTCCAATACACTTCTTCTTGCTTCCCTTATATCCCAGGCAAAAGGTTGATTCTGAAATTTGTTCATTTATATCGACAGAACATCAATCCGGAATATTCAAAGCCAAGAATTTATGTCATTTAAGCATAAAGTAATACTTGATTTTACCATAGTTTTAGTGTTCCCCACATTTCCAGAGTGAAAGAAAAATCACAAGAAATCAAGCTTGTAATGGTGACTTAAAAATTCTTTGAGGGCACATCTGGGAGTCTGTGTTACTTTGACTGAATCTCCTACCTGTATGTTCACATCTGGCCCTCAGCATCCCGTTTTTGTCCCTCCCTCTTTGCAATCAATGACTGCCTTTTGAGTACCTCTGTGTGACCACAGTGCTTACTGCACAATACTTTGCAGGCACAGTCCAGCTGCTGCAGAAATAATGTGCATTGAATAAATGTGTACATGTTTATTGAATAAATGAAAGGTTTAACTCTTCCCCAATCGTTTTAAAAGTCCCCACTACTACTGGTTTTAAAGGAAGACATGGACTGAAATTTTTGAAATAGGAGGATTTTTTATGTCTCTCGATTATCATAAAAATAAATTAATTAGAGAAGTAGCAATAATGTCTACCATTGATTGAACATTTATCATGTGTCAGGCCTTGTGCTAAGCATTTTATATTATATAAACTTAGGTTTTCCAATAATTCTGGAAGTTCACTTAACACTTGGTGGTAGAGCTGAGATTTGAATCCAGCCCTGTTTGATTGCCAAGTCCTGGTTCTTTTGTTACATTATTTCTGGGAAAATAGGGGTTTCACTGCAAGGCATTCAGTGTGGACCACTCTGAAACTCTCTGGGGGGACACAGGGTATGCTAAAAGAACAGGACTCCACTCAAAAGCCCATTTTTTGGAGTGTGGGGCAAGATCCATTTATTAAGAGCTCTTTCTACAACCACAGTACAGAAGAGAATACTCCATTTCTTTGTTAACTCCAATAATTAAACTAATCCATTTCTTTCGTGGTTTGAGGCTTGTCTAAAAGGAGACAGATCGGGGTAGTTTTAAAGTCCCTTCCATACTGTGATGCTGTGAAAGGGATGGTCTGACTCCAAATCTTGGTATTGGCTGAGTACACAGCTAATTTCTGAACATTTGCATCTTAAATCCTGTTTTGTGTTTGCATAGCAGATATCCACATTTGCTGATGAGTTCCAAAGCTTTGGAGCAACCACCAGAAGAGGCCTCTATATTGGAGTAGGAATCTCTGCTGGGTTGGCTCTTACGCTTATCTTTAGTGCTTTAATTCTCAAATGTAAGTTGTTGGATATGGTTTATCTTTCCCTCCGATAGGAACTGGAAATGTTGGAATGAGAACAAACCGAGATAAAATTTGACTTTGTGCTGGGCATGGTAACTCCCAGCAACTCCAGAGGCTGAAGCAGGAGGATTGGAGGCCAGCCTCAGCAACTTAGGGAGACCCTAAGCAACTTAGTGAGACCCTGTCTCAAAATTGAAAATAAAAAGGGCTGGGGATGTGGCTCAGTGGTAAAGTGCCCCTGGGTTAAATCCCCAGCACAAATATATATATATATATATATATTTTTTTTTTTTTTGTGTGTGTGTGTGTATAAAACTTTGTACCTAAAGGTGATTAGGTAGGCTAAATACCCACTATACTTCTAAACCCTCACAATAATAATAGCTAATAATTATTCAGTGATTACCACATGTCAGGCAGGTCCTGTGTCAAATGTTTCACATACATTTTATCATCATCACCATTAGCAAGTTTCAGAACTGGGATTTAAATTCAGGCAGGCTGATTCCAGTATCTTTTCTGCATATCATTAATTAAGAAGACTTTTTTTTTCAGTGCTGTGAATTATTGAACCCAGGGGTGCTCTACCACTGAGAGACATCCCAGCCCTTTTTTAAAAATTTTATTTATTTACTTTTATGTGGTGCTGAGGATCGAACCCAGTGCCTCACATGTGCTAGGCAAGTGCTCTGCCACTGAGCCTCAACCCCAACCCCATCCCAGACCTTTTTATTTTTCATTTTGAGACAGGGTCTCCCTAAGTTGCTGAGGCTTGAACTTGTGATCCTCCTTCCTTAGCCTCCTGAGTAGCTGGGATCATAGGCGTGAGCTGCCATGCCTGACTCCTGTCAGCTCTTGAAGTGTAGCTATTCCTTGTCTAACTGCCCAGTCAATAGCTCCACTTGGATATTTCACACATTTAACAAAACGGAGCTTCCAATTCTATGTTATTCCACCTTCCTTCTCTGGTCTTTTCCATCGTATTTTACCATTGTCTGTCTCGTTGTTTAAGCCAGAAATGCAGAAGTCATCCTGCTCCCATTCCTACCTCTTAAGATGCAGTCCAACTTCAGTTCCTGAAGTCTTTCTCCAAAATATATTTAAAATCCCTCATTCTGCATGTCTTGGCCACCACCTTACTATAAGGCACTGCCTTCTCTGCTTTCTTCCCATTTATTTGTTCCTCCTCCCTCCTTCCTCCACATAGCTGACAGTGATACTAACACCCAAACAGACCATATCTCTGTCCTTCAGTGATTTCCTATAGGTCTTAAAATAAAACCCTAACTCCTTATCACGATGGAAAAGTCCTGTGGCCCCTAGTCACAGCTTACTCCTCAGCCTTCACCTGGGGCTGTTCGTTCTCTTAGCCACTTTTTGGTTTCAGAGAATCACCAAGATCTTTCCTAGGGCTTCTCTCTTCTTGGAAGGCTCCCCGTGGCTCTTGACACAGCTGACTCATTCTTTTCTTTCACAGCTGAACTTAATGATAGTTTCTGAGAGTGTTGCCCTATTCTCTGTTTCAGTGTGGTTTTGGTTTCTCTCATACATCACACTTTGAAATTATTTCGTTTTTCTACTTACTTACTCTTTTCTTTTCCTTCTACCCTATCTGCGTTCTTCTCTTTTTTCTCGTTTCTCCCATGCAAGCTTTGTGAAGTTAGGACTCACAATTCACCTTTGTGTCAACCATGCCTAGCAAATTGCCAGACACTTAGAAGAGGCCTCGTGGTATTTGTTAAATAAGAAAATGCATCTTCTTTATTTTCTAGCATAGTACATAGAATAAACTAAGATACACATGGGGAGTTTGATTTAGTTTCTTCTAAGCAGAGACCAGATTTCCCTAAACAACAATTACCCACAGTGAGCCCATTTTATTTCTTATTTATTTTACCTAAGCACATTTATTCATTTTACTTTCCTCTTTACCTAGGGTATTCTCATAGGAAAAAGAAGTTACAGAATTCAAGGTAAGAATAGGAATGGGAGAAGGAGAATCTGAGCGGCCCCCTACCCTAATATAGCTTTGATTTTTGCCCTGAGAAGGTTTGGCCTGGGGTTTGGGGGGTCTAAGCTTGTATTTCTTTTGCCTGCAGTCTAATTATGAAATGCAAATTTAACATGCTGCTCTGTTTGCTCCCTGATCCGGTTAGCTTCCTTAGTTCTAATGTTAAGGTATAGAATTTATCTCCCTATTATTAAGAAATGCTTATTTATCTCTGTATTAATGGGGATTTTTTTCAGTGAACTGAAACCTCAACTAATTGAGCACTTACTATGTCCAGGGGGGTCAGGGCTGGACACTGAGGTAACCAAAGTGAACAGGAAAACCAGTCTGTTTTCAGGGTTTTTATAGCCCCACTCAGGCTTTTCAGCTGATGATGTATAGGATCACCAGGGCACTTAAGCCAACTGATGCAGGACCAGCCCTGTAGCAACTGAATTGGAATTTTGATGATGAGGACTGAGCAGGTGTTTCTCTGAAAGCTCTCCGGGTGGTTCTGTTGTGTAGTCAGGGCTGAGAGTTAATTCGGGTCCCTGTCTTCATCATCATTCCTTACTATTTACACCATCCATTCCTGATCGACATAAGTCACACCCTTATCAGATTTTCCAGTTTTAGTAACATTTGGTGCATTACAAGAATGTAATGTATTTTGAGAAGCAAATGACTGTCCATTAAATACTATCTAAATCACTGATCATTTTAGACTAAGATAAATGTGGTATATTATAAAGACAAAATAACATGTAATAAGAAGTCAAAAAAGTAACAAGTAAAATATTCGATGATTAGTGTTCTTCATTAAAGCAGAAATTGGGAAATATGATTATTATTCAGAGGTAACATTGATAGGAATTAATTCATCATTTATGAAGTTATATGATTAATGTTCATCCCTGTCTACAAATTGTAAACTCCACAGAAAATTAGGAACTTGTCTGCCATATTAATGACTGTATCCCCAGAATAGTGCCTGATCCTATTAACAATCAATATTAATGATGGAATAAATTAGTATTTTTCACGGTTGACCTGTGAGGCAGGATTCACATTATTTCCATATTACAGACAAGGATACTAAAACACAAAGTTTACTAACACTTAACCTCTATGGGATTTTTGTGTTCCATTCAATTCTATCTCTCTAGTTGCATAGAACAGTGTGTAACATACTAATTATTTCTTGAATGAAAACAAAACATAGTGTACGCCTGTAATTCTAGCAACTCAGGAGGCTGAGGTAGAAGGATTGCAAGTTCAAGGCCAGCCTTAGCAATTTAGTGAGGCTCTAAGCAACTTAGTGGGATCCTGTCACAAAATTAAAAACAACAACAAAAAAATATGGAAAGGGCTGGGAATGTGGCTCAGTGATTGACAGCCCCTGGGTTCAATCCCTGGTACTCAAACAACAACCACCACCAAAACCAAAAAAACAACAACAACAAAGATTTATGCAAATCTTAAAGTTAGCATGTATCAGAGAATTTGAACTCTAGTCTGATTGGATCTACAACATAATTGTTCCCATTTATTTTTCCTTTTGAAATTGTTCAAGCTCACAGAAAAATTGGAATGACAGTGCAAGGAACAACAGAACCTCCACCTGAACTCCACATGTGGCATGCGGCACATTCTGGCTTTGTCCATTTCTCCATATGCACAATGGTTTTTCTGAACTATTTGTAAGGAAGTTGTAGACATCTTGACATTCACCTAAACATTTCAGCTTTTGACCACTAAGAATAAGGATATGCAGTTTTTCTATCTAAGAAAAATGAAGTTAATTCAGATTTTCTCAGATAGTCCCCGAATTATTTTATGGCTTTTCCCCCCAGTCGACATCCAATCAAAGATCATACATGTCTCTTCAGCAAAGCCTAATCTTATTATTATTATTTTTGGTATCAGAAATTGAACTCAGGGGAACCTGGCCACTGAGCCACATCCCCAGCCCTATTTTGTATTTTATTTAGAGACAGGGTCTCACTGATTTGCCATTGCTGAGGCTGGCTTTGAACTCGCGATCCTTCTGTTTTCAGCCTCCTGAGCTGCGGGGATTACAGGCGCATGCCTCCACACCCATCTTAAAGCCTAATCTTTTAACCTCGTTCCATGTTGCCTGCGGAATGCTTAAATCAACCCCAACACTTTTCTTTTCACAGTCTCATCACGCTGGCCAACCCCCGTCCCTCAGGATTGGCAAATGCAGCAGCAGACAGGATGCGCTCAGAGGAGAACATCTACATCATTGAGGAAAACATATATGAGATGGAGGACCCGAATGAGGACTACTGCTATATCAGCAGTGAGCAGCAATACTGACCACCTCTGGGTTCTCACCTTTTTATGCCATTGAATCCAGCACCTTCATTTTTGACCTTGGTGTTGTTTTTTTCAAAACTAAGACGTGTCAGCTAACTGGTTTTACAGGTTCTGTCCAGGGGCACGAAGAAGAGTGTTCCTATTTTCTGGAGATAATTAGCTCACATTGGGGTTCAACCGTGACCTTTGCTGTACATCATTACCTCTGTATCCCAGCTAACAGGGGTATCCAACCCAGAGACTGCCAATCATGGGCATTAGACTTCAAATGTACTTTTATGCACATTAGGGATTCTTGATATGAAATCTCTCCAAGAAATTCAGGCTTATGATGTGACTGTGAAGCTCCTGAAAATGTAGAGTATACTGTGTGTCGAGACATGTGCTTTTCTTCTTCAGTACAGACAGTCTAAAGGGGCACTGATTTTCATGGAGGTCTATAATCCTTAAAAGGGTCCAATAAGCCGAATGTTGTGGTACATACCTGTAATCCCAGCAATTTGGGAGATTGAGGCAAGAGGATTCCAAGATGGAGGCCAGCTTCAGCAACTTGGCAAGGCCCTAAGTGACTTATGGAGATACTATCTCAAAATAAAAAATAAAAAGCTTGAAAAAAAAAAGAAAAAAAAAAAAAAAAAAAAAAAAAAAAAAGGTTAAGTTACGAAAGGAGGGGCTGGGGCTGGGGCTAAGCGGTAGGTTGAGTGATCACCTAGCATGTGCAAGGTGCTGGGTTCGATCTTCAGCACCACATAAAAATAAAGGTATTGTGTCCAATTATAACTAAAAAATAAATAAAAAAGAAAGGAATGATCTTGAAGTTTCCCTCTGAGTTTACGCTTTTTTGAATGTTGCCTGTCCAATGGTAAGTGCTCACCTCTGCCTCAGTTAAGAAGACAACTCAGCAGGCCTGTGGTGTGGCCAGAGAACATGGGGAAAAGGAGTGTGTGTGTGTGTGTGTGTGTGTGGCCAAGTTTTGCTTGTTGCACTCTCAAAGGGAAATATCTCTGCCCAACTTCTCCATTCATGGAGAGAACTGGAGCTGTATTTTCACAGAAGAAGAACTAGTGACTGAGACTCTGTTTCCTGGTGAAAAGGAGGCAAAGGCTTCCAGCAATCTGTCTTGTCAGCATCAGACCCCTTAATGGAAAGACAGTGGTCCCTGAACTTAAATTCTAAGATAGCGGAGACTATCCTTGTCTTGTTTATTGTTGCCTTCCAGGCTCTTGCCTGACTCTGAAACTTGCTAAATAACTTCAGAATGCAGAAAGGGAACTTTCTGGAGAGACTTTCCATTGCAGAGCTCAGACAGAGCACGCGTCTGTAACTTCTCGAAGAATTCACAAATACTCTGAAGCTTCCATATCTGTTCTTATCTGGCCAAAGTGGCCTTTGTTTCTCAATAACATCTTTCTATTCAGGATCTTGTTACTCTTTTATGTTTTTCTCTTTCTGCCTTCCTTAGCACATAAAGAATGTGAAATATGTCTGTCATCCCTGACTCTGGAGGCTGAGGCAAGAGAATCACAAGTTCAAGGGCAGCCTGGGCAACTTGGTGAGACCTTGTGTCAAAAAATTAAAAGGCTGGGTGTAGCTCAGCGATAGAATTCCCCTAGATTCAATACCCAATACTGGGTGTGTGTGTGGGTGGTGGGGAGAGTGAATCAACAATATGGACGTGTTGCTGACTGAAAATCACTCCTCCACAGCTAGCTGAGGAAGAAATTGCTACTGGATTGAACAGAGAAGATGTTGGTCACTGAGCATGCAGGCAGCCTGTTTGTTTTTACAAGTCTTTCTGGAAGTCTTATTGTGTGAATTAGATGGAATTTCGGCTATAAATAAAGAGATTTGGAGAGCACTGGCTTTCTATAGCTGATATGTAAGAGAGATCATTTTGCAAAACTAATATTGTAGGCAGCAGTTCTCATACAGGCTGACAAATTAAACACAAGTGTTTTATAAAAATCATGAAATTCTAGTGAGAAAGAACATGAGAACACATTTGGACCAGATCAATGGTTTCTCCCCAACGATATTCCTATCCTATAAAAATCTTTAAACAAGAATATTATACAAATATGATTACTGCAAGGGTATTCATAAGAGATTTTCTATATCAATCGAAAAATTGTTGATTAAATGGTTCAGTTAAAACGAACTAGGAAGTTTCATTGAGTTTTTTGGTTAATTCAACAAATACTTATTAAGTGGTTACTATGTTCTGGCACTGTGTTTGGTGCTGGGATCATGGAGTGGGGCCAAAAAAGGCAAATCCCTGGCCACATGAAATGTCACTTAGTCTGATAGGAAGGAGAATTCATGTCCATTTGTCCATTCAATGAACATTTATTAGCAACTACTCTTGGGCAGGCATTGTTGTGATATCTAGAACAGCAGTGACCAAAGCAGTCAAAACTCTGCTCTCAGCAGGGGACAGTGGCACACTGTAATCCCAGCTACTTGGGAAGCTGAGACAGGAGGATCAAGAGTTCAAAGTCAGTCTCGCAACTTAGCAAGGCTCTAAGCAACTCAGTGAGACCCTGTCTCTAAATAAAATGCAAAAAAGGGCTGGAGATATGGTTCAGAGCCCCTGAGTTCAATCCCTGGTAACAATAACAACAACAAACATAACAAAACAACTCTGCTCTCATGACTCTGATGCTACTTGTCCTCTGACAAAGCTCTGCGATTAAGCGAAAGGAAAAGTAGTTCTAGACTAAGTGTATGTAATTGATTTTTTGTTTGTTTTGTCCTTAAAATTATGGGAGACTGAGCGCAATGGTTGCATGCCTATAATTCCACTGCCGTGAGTCAGGGGAACTGTGAATTCAAGGCCAGCTTTGGCACCAGAGCAAGACCCTGTCTCCAAATTTAAAAAGGGTCTGGGAATGTAATGCAGTGGTAGAGTACTCACCTAGCACATGTGAGACCCTGTGTCCATTCCTAGTATGGAAAAAAAGAAAAGAAAAACAACAAAAAAGAATATACCAAATAAACCAAAATTAATATTGTTATATCATTGGGACAAAAGGTTGGGAAAGACTTTCACTTTTTTCTTTCTTTCTTTCTTTTTCCTGTTATACTTTAATTATTTTATCCATTTTCTTTGGTAATAAAAATTGAATTTTAAAGATTATAGCAGTGTTTTCCTGTCTGCTTTCCTTTTCATAGGAAGAAATGAGGACCTGGATGGGTTAAGGTCAAGGTCGGCAGTAGGATGTGACAGTAAGCCAGGCCTGGGATCTTGGTTTTTGAGAGTAGGATTCACTCTACACTAGTATTATAATGGAGAAGGTACACAGGGAAAAACAACAAAAACAAAACCAGAGAAGGGGAAAGGGCCCAGGAGATGGAGAGTAGTAACTTCAAGTACTAAAAACAATGCCACCACCATCCCAAGGCTTTAATGAGGGTTTTGACAGAACAGTGCACATCTCACAAGTGGCTGCAACTCAGCTTGGTGCCCAGGTCTTGGTTTGGGAGTGTACTCTTTGGGTGTTCTTTAAAAAACTATCCTAGCCTAGCACCATGGTATCCAAGCACTGGAATCCCAGCATTCTGGAGGCTGAGTCAGGAGAATTACAAGTTTGAGACCAGCCTCAGCAATTTATGAGACCCTCAGCCATTTAGTGAGGCCCTATCTCAAAATAAAAAAGAGCTGGGGATATAACTCAGTGTTAAAGTGCCCCTGGGCTCAATCCTCCTTATCAAAATAAGTAAATAATATTTAAAAAAAAAAAAACTATCCTAAACTTATGTAGTAAAATCCTAATGCTATTAAATCTCTTTGACCCATTTTCTTCCAAAGATGGATATAGAGGAAATGCCTTATCTGCATACGATGATAATGCAGCAGGGCACGCTGGTTAAAAGTGAACATCTTAATCCAGAAACAAATGTGATGTTATCTTCAATGTCTTTAAGTGGACAGTGAACATAGTTTTGGTTCCAGGACTGAGGAGGCCCCACAATCTCTTAATTCTCTTAGGAAACATTCTGTAGTACACAAGGTAGTTCCAGCGGCCTCAACAGGAACTGGTCACTCCTAACATCCTTGTATACAACTTCAGAACCCTGGTCCTCTCAATTAATGTTAATGACATCTGAAGGGTATATATAAATCACACTGGGACCTGCTATGCTTCTAATTTTCTTTTTTTTTTTTGGTACCGGGGATTGAACCCAGGGGCACTCAACCACGGAGCCACACCCCCAGCCCTATTTTGTATTTTATTTAGAGACAGGGTCTCATTGAATTGCTTAGCCCCTCGCTTTTGCTGAGGCTGGCTTTGAACTTGTGATCCTCCTGTCTCAGCCTCTGGAGCTGCTGGGATTACATGTGTGCGCCACTATGCCGGGTGTGGTACTGATTTTTGAAGACGTCAGTTTATTTTCCTAAACTTCTTAGGGGAGAGATAGTAGTTTTTTATTTGCATAGAATGTTCCATTCTTACTTAGCCTGGGTTGATTAATAAACATTTATTAAAATAACATGTTGAATGGCAGAACAGTGGAGCAGAGGTAGTTAAAACCGGCTTTCACTTCTGCATCTGCCCCACTGATGTGGACGGGTCCTTGATGCTGTTCCTCTTTTTTGATTTGTTTATTCATCTGCACATTGAGAGGGTTGGCCCAGGTGTTTAAAGGAGCTTCATGCACCACCATCTCAAAGTCTGCGTGATTTTTTAGACTTAGATTTTGATTTAAAATTTTTATCTTTGTTGAATCTTTTTAAATAGCCCAGCAGAGTCTCGTGGTGCAGGCCTATAATCCCAGCTACTCAGGAAGCTGAGGGAAGAGGATCGCAAATTCCAGGTTAGTTTCAGCAACATAGTGAGACCTCGTCTCAAAATTAAAAATAATAAAAAAAGAGCTGGGGATGTATCTCAGTAGCAGAGCACTCCTGGGTTCAATCCCCAGTACCACAAAAACAAAGATAAACCCCTCACTGGGTGCTGTATGAATAATTCTTAGGAATTATGGAAACAGGGAGATCATTAAAAACAAAAACAAACAAACAAACAAACAAAAACAACAAACAGAAGAAAACAAACAGCCCAGCAGAAAACAGATATATTCTAGTCCACTAATATTTCCCTAGAATGTGTTTAAATTAGCAAGTGGGTCAAAGATTGGCTGATTGAAGAGACTCTGTTTTCAAACACACTTCCCTGTGCTCTTATTTAAGGGTGTGGCCAAGAGATAAGGAGTGGAATCCGGGAGAAGCCGTCTTTATCTATGAAAACCTTTGGAGGGAATGTGACCGACCACCCAAAGGAAAGGTTGTGCCAAGACCTGTCTGCTGACTCATCGCTGAGTGGGGCGAGTGGGGCACTCTGCAGACTCACTCTAAAGACAAAGCCAGAACACCCACCGCGGCTTGGACTTTCTCAGTGTTACATGGGATTAGGACACTAGGCCCCATGAGGACAGAGTTGGTAGAATAGGGGAAGTGTACATAAAATGGAGCTCTTTGGACTTGGGGGAGATATTTATATTTATTATTATTTTTAGTACCAGGAATCGAACCCAGGGATGCTTAATCAAGG